GACATTTTGACAGCTGCTGTAGCGAAGCCATGCCCAGTGCTGTGAGGGCCCTCGGAGATCAGTTTCCCTGTGTGTGCCACTAAGCCCATTAATGACATTTTAACTGACCGGGTGTGAGAACAGAGCGCTGACCCGTCTGGAGTCAGCTGCCTCGCAGCAGCAGTACATCTGGAACTGAGGGCTGATTTTGCTCAGGGAGCCCAGTCGCTCAGCTCTGCAGCGCCTCGTGTGCCCGGGCGTGGCTCTGTGGGTGCAGCAGGAGACTCTCGAGGAACTCGACTCACGGGAGCCAAAACTGTCCCCCCCCCCCCCCATAAAAGGGAAGAGGAGGATTCTGCGCAAGCGCAGAAATGACGTTCCAAGGAACGGTCGTAGCCTCCGCCTGGCCAAGGAGAGCCGGGCTCTGCGCATGCGCGGAGAAACCCGAGCGAGTCCCGTGAAAACGCAAACAAGCGGCGGTGGCTGTCGCTTTCTGCAGGGCCGCCGTCCTGGAGCCAGCGGGGGAGGGGCGCCTGCCTATCTATGCGGTGAGTGAGGCGGCGCAGGGCCCAGGCTCCTGGCGGGGGACCCGGGAGGGGGGGGGATCGGCCCTTTGTGTTGAGGGGCAGCGAAGAAGCTTCCCTGACCCGGGTCGCGCCGCGTCTTTGGGGCGGGGCCGGGCCTCTCCTCTCCCCTCCCCTCTCCCCCCCCCCCCATCATAGTGAGGAGACGGGAGTTCCGCCCGCCCTGAGGGGCCTGTGGGGCAGGCAGGGCGCGTCCCGGCGGGACGGGGGTGGTGGGGACCAGGTGGGGGAGAGTCAGGGGACGAGACTCTTCGCAACTTGCTGTGCTTCGCTCGTTGGACTGGCCAACAGCCCCGGGAAAGCTGCCCCAGTGGGTGCGCGCCCCTGGCATTGTGTCCGTGGGGGGGGGTCTGTCTGTGCCGCCTCGCCTCCCTAGCTTGCCCCAGGCCTGGGCTCTCCCTTCCACCTTCGTGCAGGCTTTTGAATGTCCCCAGTGCAGGGAGACCCCTGACTGCTGCGGGATCACAGGATAATGTTTCCTGTTCTTTTTCTTTGTGGCCCCAGTTTCAGCTGGCTTCTCTTTCTTACAGCACTTAGGCTACAGTGGTTCCTAAACTTTTTGGCATCATGCCCCCTTTTTCAGAAATCCTGAGGCCTCCTCCCCCCAAGACAGCAGGAAAACTTAAGCCAAAAAAAAAGAAAAGAACTGACCAGGGCAGCGAAACTTGATGGGGTGGAAGGGCTGGGTTGCCTCGCACCCTCACTGAAATTTCTTTACACGTCCCCCCAAGGGGGCACGCCACCAGTTTGGGAACCCATGATAGACTATAAGCCTCTTTCAAAAAATCTGCGTGTAGTTTACACCCTCTCTCTCGAAAGTCTAAACGCTCTCTTTCGAAAAAGCACAGTTTGCATTCAATAGTGCCTTTTTCCTCATAGAATGAGGTTTACCACGATTGAAAAAACTGCCGCGTTCTTTCAATTTACTTTTGAAAGAATGCAGCTGCAGTCTAGACACAGGTCATTTTTTTTCACGAAAACCCTGTAGTCTAGACCAGTGTTTCCCAATTTTATTTGGCCATGGAATCCTTTTCAGAATTTCAAGGAACCCCTAGGTTTGTTAAGAAAAAAAAAAAGGGGGGGGTGCTGGGATAAGGAACAGGGTGCTGCTGGGTTCTAGGGGGGATGGCAGGGTGCTGGGGCTGGGGCCAGGGCCAGGGTGGTGCTGGGTCCTGGGGTGGGTGGCAGGGTTCTGGGGCCAGGGACAGGGTGGTGCTAGGGTGGATGGCAGGGTGCTGGGGCTGGGGCCAGGGCCAGGGTGGTGCTGGGTCCTGGGGTGGGTGGCAGGGTGCTGCTGGGTGCTGGGGACAGTGCTGGTGGGGACTGGGTACTCAGGCGGGGGACTGGGCAGGGGCAGCTGGGACCAGTACCTGGTAATCCTGCAGCACCTCGGGTTCCGGGAAGTGTGTTACTGCACTCCCTCTCCCCAAACAGCTGGTGTGCGCGCTGCCTGAGCAGCAGAGGCTGTTGAACCCCAGCAACTTACTTCCGTGATACCGTCCTGCAGGCGGGGTAGGGGGGAGCAGGGTGTGGGGCATGGGGAGTCCCAGGGCAGAGGGTGCTGCCTTCATAGTTTGAGATACGCAGTCCCCGGTCTCCTGAACTTCCTCCCTTCCCCCACACCATGCAGAAAGGCCCCGGAACTAAGTTGCTGGGTGCCACAGCCCCAGCTATTCAGGCAGGGCGCGCTGGCTCCTTCGGAGAAGGGAAGTGCTTCCTTCCCCGCTGTGGGTCACATGCAGTCACTCCTGTCTGGCACTCCCCTGGTGTGCTGGCTGGGAGCAACTGTTCCCTCTGCCCCTGCCTCCATATGCCTCTGCTGGCTAGTTGGCTGTAAAGGGGTAGCAGTCCGCTTCCCCTTTTCTGTCAGTTTACTCTGGCTTTAACGGCCGCCCCGCTGTCCTTTTGTTAACCAGTTTACAATTGTTTCTGTCTCCAAGGCAGTCTGTTTTGTGGTCCGATACCACAAGCATCTCCAACAGTTCTGCCCCGCTGCTGGCAGATGGGGGTAGGGGAACAGGTCCCAGCTCAGGACTCCAAAGACAGGTACAGGTAAGGACCTGTCTGACTGGTGGGGCTCCTGCCTCAATGCACCAGCCCACAGGCCATCTGTAGGCAAGCCCCGTCCTTGGCGTCTTCCTACATCCAGGGACCTCCAACTTCAGCCCCTTGTGCTCCCCTAGCTCCAAAACTCACCACCTTCGTGCCTTAACTCCAGGTGTTGGGATAATGCTGGTGTTTCCTCCCTCGCTCCAATTCTGCTCCCATTCTCCTATCTCCCTCGCTGCCTTCTCCGCCCTGTCTCTTGCGGCCGCAAACATTTTGAATTCCCTGCTCTGGCTCCCCCATGCTAATCCCTTCCCCTGACGCATGCGCCCTCTTGCCCCCTCCCTCCCTGGATGCATGGACCGGCAGGCAGCTGAGGTCTCCCAGCTCAGCGTTCCGCTCATGGCAGAACAGCCATGCTGTGCTGCTGCGCAAGAACAAGTCTTAAAAATCATGCTGTCTTAAAATACATGTTTCTTCATTTCTAAAACTTCAAGGTTAACACTAAGCTGATTCTTAATATAATATTACAATGTTAGAATGGGGTGGGCAATAATTTTTGATGGGGGGCCACTCTAAGAATTTGGTAAGTGATCAAGGGCCTCATTTTTCTATTATATTAATGGAGGAGATACGGGGTCTGAGACGGGGAAAGTTAGTGAGTACTTGACAAAACAACTACCTGATAAGCATAAGCTTATTGGGTAGTCTAGAGGATTATCGACTACTTGTCCCACCCTTCTACCCCTCTTGCTGTGCTTCTGTGATTCGGGCCCAGTGGCTCTTACTACATTTAAAATGCAGAGCTGCAGTTTGAGTGGCTCCCAGAGCTGGCATGAGCCAGGGCTGCTCAGTCCCGGCTTTAGCTGGTTCTTGGAGCTACCACCACTGTAGCTCTTCAGAGAGGACCTTATCAACTAATCATGTGGTTGATGTAAATTTTATCAACTGCACGATTAGTCACACAACCATAATTTATTATCCTCAGGAGTGGGTGCAGAAAGGAGCTTGGGGTAGGGGATGGGGATGCAGGAAGGGCTGTGGGGTCTGGGAGGGAGTTGTGAAGGAGGGAGATTGTGATTTGGGGCAGTGGATTGGGGTACAGAGTCTGGGAGATTATTTGGGTTCAGGAGTGGATTTGACTTGAGGGAGGGATTTGTGATCAGGGTGGGAGTGCAGAAGAGGGTGTGCAGGGTTGGATTCTGATGTGGGGCGGAGGTTCTGGATGGGTGCAAGGGGTTTGGGTGCAGGAGGAGTTGTGACAAGGGTGGGGTGCCAGAGGAGGTGGGGTGCAAAGTGTATGCTATGGTTGGTAAGCACTTACCATAGGTGTCTCCCGGCTAGTAGCAGAGTGGGACCCTTGGGCAGGTTCAGTGCTTGCTGTGCTCCCACATATCACTCAAAGAGGCTGGATGCTGGAGCCAGCATGTGCGTGTCGGCCCCACATACACCGTGAGGATGGAGCAGGGAGTCATGTGTTGCATGCACCCTCAAGCATGGCCCAGGTGGCTCCCATTGGCCAGTTTTTGCAGCAACCTGCCAACCCTCTTAAATTGATGAACCAGTTAAAAACTTGAATGGGATTTTACATCCCTAATTTGAGTTGAATCTCTGTCAGTGGCATTTGTATGTTCTTAAATATGGAGCAACACTTCATCCAAGCAAGGCCATATTCCTACAGTTAAGTGCTCATGTGTGTTGTATGTTTGAAAGCATTTCCATAGCTTAACTCAGTGTTTCCCAACCTGGGTCCTGCGAAACCCTGGGGTTCCGCAGACCATTGTCAGGGGTTCTGTGAGAAACCATGGAATAAATAAAGCTGACGTATAAATATAACAGCTCTTTACAAATAAATTTTCTTGACAATAATTTAGCAGTAATTGATTTGCGCTCCCCGCTGTCAACTTTTTCTGGCCAAGCAAACATTTTCATAGGTAGGGGTTCCTCGGGATATGAAAAACTATTTTAGGGGTTCCTTCATGGGGAAAAAGGTTGGGAATCACTGGCTTAACTCCCTGACTGAGGGTATGTCTAGATTGCATTCCTCCTTTAAGAGAAGAATGTAAATGCAGACAAACAAAATTGCAAATGAAGCGCGGATTTGAATGTCCTGCGCTTCATTTGCATAATTGCGTCCAGCTGCTTTTCTGAAATACCATATTTGAGGGGGGACAAAAAAGTGGTCCACACGGGGTTATTTTGAAAAGAAACCCTTCTTCAAAATACTCCTTAAAAATGAGGTTTAAGGGTTATTTCGAAGGAAGGGTTTCTTTCCGAAATAACCCCATTTTTCTCAATATATGGTATTTTGGAAAAGCCTCTGGTCATGATGCAAATGAAGCACGGGAAATTCAAATCTGCGCTTCATTTGCAATTTGGTTTGTCTGCATTTGCCTTCCTTTCTCGAAGGAGGAATGCAATGTAGACATACCCTGAGCTATGAACTTTGCAGTGGAAGCAAGTACCATTAGTTACTATTAAACCCTAAAACATTATTTTGATCTCTAGATTAAGTGGATAGATACTTAGTAATTTTGACCTATGGTTAAGTCTGTAAGTTTACAAAACTCAAAGTGAAGACATTCCTGTTGTTGTTGTTGTTAAGGGGTGGACTAGCAAGATCATAAGAGGCTACTTCCTGAAAACTAAAAATATCTGTGTCTAAGAGATTTGTGCATCTGTCTTCAAGTCTGTTCAAGAACTCCTAAATGGTAAGAACTAGGACCACTGAGCTTGCTATGCAGCTTTCTCCTACTGTAAGTTGAAACAGGGTCAGGGTTTGGTAGTGCCAAAAAATGGGAAGTGCTGGGAATGGGACTGTTCCATATTTAGAAAGGGAGCGGCACAGAGAGGGGGCTGCAATACTGAGGGCAGTAAGCATGCAGGGGAAAGCTATACTATATAGAGTCCACTGAGGGCAGCTGCATCATCAAGAGAATGGCCAGCAGGACTGGGGCATGCCATCTTGCCTGCCACTAGACCAGGTAAGTAGCCCCCCCACTCTAATCCCCTCTTCCCCCAGCCCTTGGCTACAGCTTCGGGAGGGAGGAAGCCCCTGGGTGCTGGGGAGGTGTTAAGGGGGGAAGAAATCCCTGCTGGATGGGACCCTCCTACTCTGTCCTTTATCATTCTTCCACATCCCCAAGGCCCTGCCCTGATTCCTGCACTCCTCCTCCCCCCACACTGCCAGCCCCCCTGAAGGACCCACGCAATGCTGGTTAAGTCTTCTACTAAAATATAACATCAATAATTAGAATTTAAATAAGCTGTTTACAGCTATTTTTCAAGTGTTGCTAGTGGGGGCCCTACCAAATTCACGGTTCATTTGGGTCAGTTTCACTAACTTAAAATTGGTCAATTTCATGATTTCATACAATCAGAATGCTAGAAGAGGTTATCAAGAGGTCATCAAGTCCAGTCCTCTGCACTTGCAGTAGGACTAATCACCATCTTGATAGGGGCAACAACCTGAGCTTCTTGTGGAGGGGGGTCTGATTTCTGCCCATAATAGCTCACCTCTGCCCCACAGGCTATAATTTTTGAAGGGGGGCCACTTCATGAATTTTGGAAGTGATTGTGGGCTGCCCCTTGAAGGGGCAGGGCTTCGGGCAGAAATCGGCATATCCCTCTAGGTGTGGCCTACTCTTGGCAGGGGGAGGAAATTGGGTGCTCCCCTGTCCCCAGACTAGGGTTGTGAAGGACTAGTCGACTATCTAATAAGCAAATGCTTATCAAATAGTGGACAAGCTTGTTGACTAGTTGTCTTCCCCCCCCCCCCCCCCCCTTGCCTTCTCTCC